GTTTTGGTAGTCATAATCATTGTTGACATTTGGAACTATGGACCAGTAGCAGAAGACATGAATATTGACCTATGATAATAACAATGACATGGGAAGCAAATGTCTGACACCAACGTAATACTTAGGAGCTTATATGACTCGATGAGCATTTTGACATCTCAAATTGAAGCACATATCAAGTGAAGACATTTTTACATTCAGCTAAGAGATTTGAACTCTATATGATAGCCAAATACTCACTAACTAATATCAAATACAAGGTATACATGAACGTAGATCCAAGGGAGAATGTGGATAGATTCAACTTAAAGACGGATACATATTCCAAGTAATTACATATAAAATGTACAATAGAGCAAGTAGGGATCATGTGAGGTAACATTATAGTCTAACACAATGGGAGTAATAACCAATAAAGGAAACATATGAACATGTGAAAAGATGACATATATGATGGAATAGACAATTGAAGCAAGTTGGCAAGATATGGGCAGATTGTATATCCAACATATAAACATATGTACCATGTGTAATCTAAGATCATTTTGACTTATATAAGGGGAATACGTGCCAAGGGTACTTTGATGATGAAATAAGTTTAAACCTTGCATGCTAATACTTGGTAGAGTAAGCACATACATTTAGTAAATAAACTCATATTAGAGTACTCACTTTAATTCTCTAGGGAGTAGGAACTGCGACTATGGATCAATCACTACCAAGGGCACTTAGAAAGCTTACTTTGTAATACAAATGTTGGATTCATGCCAAAGAAATAGGAAATCGAATAGCCTTACATACCTGCTGCACAACATTGGATATTACAATGAGTTAACTGTCTTCCTTTCAGATTATTTATCTTACAATGGAGTAAATAATAAAACTAGCATTAGTAGTTAATCAACAAATTTGGGCTACTTCATAAGACCAAAACAGTAATTGGCAGTTTATCTATAATTCATCCCATCAAGAGTGTTCTTCCCATCCATTCTCCTCTAAAAAAAAATTATATACTATACAACCTTCTATAAGCCTCCGAAATTTCTCGGGCTTCATCACGTCTAGAAAACAATATTAAAGGAATGGCAGGAAGTAAGCTCATGCAACATTCAATTAAGTGGTCCTCTAATTAGTTCCCATGACTTCTCTGCACATGTCTAGCCAGACCCCCTTATTTTATGATACACAAAACAGTCCCTAAGCATCACAATGTAGAAGTAACAATATGAACTCACGGCTTCTGATCAACACCCCATGAGTTCCAACTAACATTACATATAAGATGCTCAAAACGAGCTCACAATCAAAATTTAAGGGGACTCCTCAACTCCATGGTTGTCCCAACAAGATCATCCTTCCTGAACTTTTACCAAGACCACGCCATATAGAGGCAACACTCCTCTGTTCATTAACACATACAAACTTTCACAAACAATGCAAGAACAAGAGAGGGATGAATATTTTCATAGCTTACCTTGCTAGAAAGAAACCTCACTTTCTAAGACTTTGATTCTTCAAGGTTTAGGTTGTCCTCTCCCCCTCACCTTGATGTTAAATCAGATTATTCACTTGAATTCCTTAAGATGGGAGATGTTTCTACCAATTTGTACTTTAAAAACACCTGTTTCTTTCAGATTTTAATGGTGAAGCTGTAGACCAGAACTCTTGGAACTTCTATGGCATTCCTTAGGAGTAATTTTTTGGGGAATAAGTGATGGAGGAGATGTGATGAGCTTGAGTGCTTTACAGGTACCTTCTGGACGTTTTTACTTCATAAAATGGAGAAATAATATGGTCCTTTACTTTAAGCAAGCAGGTGCATCACCTCCTAAATTTATGCCACAAGTTTTTAAGTAGGTGCATCACCTCCTTTCCCTTTTCACTTAAAATGCAGTCCACTTATTCTAAGTAGGTGCATCACCTACTTGCCCCTTTTAATTAAAATTCAGTCCACTAATTCTAAGTAGGTGCATCACCTACTTGCCCCTTTTAATTAAAATTCAGTCCACTAATTCTAAGTAGGTGCATCACCTACTTGCCCCTTTTAATTAAAATTCAGTCCACTAATTCTAAGTAGGTGCATCACCTACTTGCCCCTTTTAATTAAAATTCAGTCCACTAATTCTAAGTAGGTGCATCACCTACTTGCCCCTTTTAATTAAAATTCAGTCCACTAATTCTAAGTAGGTGCATCACCTATTACAAGACCGTAGCACTAATACACACTTAACCACTTAGACTTTTACATCAAATACCATATTTCCCGAGTTTGAATTTTTTTTGAGTTCACTTAGTCGTATATGTGTTGGAAGGCACGTGGTATTTCAACTTTAAACCTATTCTATTGTCACTAGTCGCATAGGAAATCGAATCCATAACTATACCACAAGGCAATTTATAACCGTCATATACATAGAACTAGTACACGTAGAATATGGGGTGTTACAATTATATTCCCTTAGCTCGTGTTTATAATTTATTTGTTGAGTACCGTGTGGTTTGGTACTCACCCCTTGCTTCTACATTTTTGTAGGTTACGTGCCTGAATCTTCGTTATACTTTTTATTCTCTTCTTTCCCAAGGCTTCCTATGGAGATTTGTGAGGTATCTGTTTGTCATCTCAACGGACCTTCTTACTCCTATTTACGATCTTGTTCTACTTTAGTGACAACATCATTTGAGACTTGTGTTTTCTTTCAAATCCATTGTAATACATTAGAGGCTTGTGCACGTGACAACCAGGTCTTGGAGATTTAGTTTAGTTGACTTGTTATCCGTATTATTACATGCTATTAAACTTTCAATTATAGCTTATTTCCGCACTTTATCGTAATGGTTGGGTTTTAGGCTGACTTGTTTTGGTGGGATAAGACGAGTGCCATCACATCCCTTTTTTGGATTGTGACAAAGACCTATGAGCTCAAGAAACAATAGATTAAGAAAGGAAAGTACCAAGGAAGGAGAAAAGTTCGTCTTTCAAAGCTGCGAAAAATGACTCCAATGAAGATGATGCTGAGATGGCCTACATCACGAGACGTTTTCAAAGGATGGTTAGAAGAAATAAAAGTTTTCCTATGAAAGAAAACTCAAGTAAACATTAAAAAAAAGACTTCTACCACAAGTGTGGAAAACCTAGACACTTTATCAAGAATTGTCCTTTTCACAAACAAGATATTATAAGGATTTTGTCAAAAACAATTTTGAGAAAGAAAGAATGTGGAAGCCGATCCCCTACCATTTCAAACTAAGAGAAGTTGTAGACAATGTATTCAGGCAAGCCCTTGCAACATGAGGGCGTAAGAGTTTTTAATCAAATCTTTGCTTGTGTTTAGTGAAGCAGTTTGGTAAAATTCTACAAAGGTAGGTCATATTTTTTCCTTCTTGAAGCAAAGAAGTTTTCCATATAAACATCGTGTGTTCTTTACATTTTTTTTTTTAGAGGTGGGCATGGTATGGTACGGTATTTCAAAGTTTTGATACCGTAATTTTGGTATTTGATTTTTAAAACATTATACCATTATCATACCAATTTAATTCGGTATGTGTAGACAATAAAATTCGCGTCGAGAAAATAATAATCAAGAACGGAAAATTATCGCAACAATCGTTTTATTATTTCAAAGTGCGAGTGTTACAATAATTCACCTTTTCGAATATAAATTCAAGGGATCTTGAGCTTGTTCTTGAATCTTTGATGAACTTGGACTTTAACTTTATCTTGATCTCGAACTTGATCTTGGCTTGAACTTTATCTTGATCTTGACTTTCTAATTGAATTCAAGGGCTTCGAGCCTAATCTTCATGAATTTAATATAATCCGAATCACCTTATAAATTTATATTTAATAAATTTTAAGTGACTACAGTATGGTTCGATATTTTGAAGTTTGGTTTTGGTATTCTACGATATGCTAAATCGGTAATCATAGTTTGTTTAGTTTCGACTAATATATACTCGTATAATAGAGTATTATCACTTTGATAATTAATTTTTTTTTTCAATTGTTTCATATATGTAGAAATACATATTTCAAAATAAAATACAAACAACTCCTTTAGTTAATCAATTACAATTCAATTTCAAATACATTTCAATCAAAATATAGTAGTCAAAGTTTCAACTTCTAAGCATTTAGTATATACTAATACTAGGTTGCATATTTGATAGTATTTTAATAATATATATATATATATATGTTATTTATGTAACTATATATTTCGGTATGGTATTCAGTATTTCGATATATTGTTTCTAAATACCAAATACCGTACCAAATAACAAAAAAAAGAAAGAATATATACCATGTACCGTACCAAATATCATAATACCAAAATCACAATATTAAAAATTTCGATATGATATGGTAATTCGGTATATACCATCCCATATCATGCCTACCCCTAGTTGTTTGTAGTCTTTACCTTGTCTCTTATTGGTTGTTGTCAAGGACCTAGTCTCTTGACGGGTGATAGATTCATACAAGATACTACATTAGTTATGTAGACCAATCAAATAAACCTAATTAAAACAAGTTATGAAATAGATAAAAATAAAGTAAAGATGCATGAGGTTGATGATTAGAAGGAAAATTAATTGGAGTTATATATATTCATTTTGGGATGGAAAGAAATGATTGTCATCCAAATTAGGTGCCTTACTTGTTGAAGTTAGAATCATTACTTTTTTGAATGGTGCGAGTAAAATTTATTAAAGTTAAAAAGAAGTAATTAAAGGGCTAATTTTTGAAATCCATAAATGACAAGACAACTGGGGTTGGTTGATTGATGTAGGCCCCATATAAGAAAGATTCGGAAGCAGATAAAAATATGTGCAAAAAAGAGAAAGAGAAAAGATCCTTCCTTACATATTCAAAAGCGCGTTAAACTGATCAGATAAGAAGTTCACAAACAAACAACAAAAAGGGCAGAGAAAGAAGAAAACCTCTTGAAGTGTTTTTTTATTTTTTTATTGAGGTATTTTGTTTATATTTTATGTGTATGTTAACGTGTACACGTTTTTCGGGTTGTCTTGTTGACTTTTATGCATTTCTTTGATTTTATATTTTAATGTTTATTTCTTGTAATACTCATCAATTGGTGCTGGACATGGAATAAGTTTGCTCTTGAATGGTATAAAGAAATTTTACTTTTCTTTTTACTTTGTTAAGCTTCTATTTGCTTCTTCAACCTTCTACACCCTTCTATTTACCTACCTTTGTGTTAATTATTTATTAGGTATATAAATTATTTTCTACTTTTTAATTTATGCATTTATATCGCCGGATCTGCAGAATTTGTTTGTTTTTTCCTTGTTTTCAGCTGTGCAATTTTGCTAAATCTCCGTACACCTTTCAAACAAGGAAGGGTAAGTTTGCATCAACTTGTCTGCGGTTTTTCTCTACCTTTTTCGTTTATATTTTCCATTTTTCTTGTGGGCTTTTTTTTTTTTTTTTTGTATTTTTGCAGGGAAGGACTCAAATATTTATGATTTTTGTTTTTGTTGATGCTAGGTTATTGTTTGTTTGATATAGATAGAATATTTGTTGCTAAGATCTTGTTGATGCTTGAATGTTGTTTGTTTGATAGAGAAAGAAGATCTTATTCTTTATATCTAACTTCCATTTTTCTCTTTTGGAATGAAGTATCTTTTGTAGATACACATATTGTGATGTTGTTTATTTGACAGATTCAATGGACGGAAGAGGAGCGTCAAGATATTGGTGTCATCATTGTTCAAGGAGGGTGAACCCCATGATGGAGGTTGAGTTAAAATGTCCCATTTGTCAACTAGGATTTATTGAAGAAATGGGATCAGACACTACTGAGACCCCTTTAGATTCTGATTCTGATTCTGATCGTGCCCTCTCACTTTGGGCACCAATCTTGTTAGGCATGATGACCAACCCTCGTCGTCGTTCTAGACTTAGGCATCTCGAATTTGAAGATGATGACGATGATGATCATACACGTGAAGCCGATACACAACTTGATCCAGACCTGGCATCTATAATAAATAGGCGCAGGAGGAACTCTGCTACAATTCTCCAGCTCTTGCAAGGTATTCGAGCTGGAATGTTGGCTGAGTCGGAGAACCCTAACCCTGATAATGAAAACAGGGAGACAGGTAGAGAGAGTAGGGATCGTGAGCGTGTTATACTTATAAATCCATTCAATCAAACCATCATTGTACAGGGTTCGGATAATAATTCCAGGAACCAACCTATTGGCTCATTGGGTGATTATTTCATTGGTCCTGGTTTAGACGTGTTGCTGCAACATTTGGCAGAGAATGATCCAAATAGGTATGGTACTCCACCAGCTCAAAAAGAGGTTGTAGAGGCATTGCCTGTGGTGACAATTGATGAGACATTGCAGTGTTCTGTCTGTTTGGAAGACTTTGAGATTGGGACTGAAGCCAAAGAGATGCCTTGTAAGCACAGGTTTCATGGTGACTGCATCTTACCATGGCTGGAGCTTCATAGCACATGTCCAGTCTGTAGGCACCAGTTGCCCTCTGATGAATCCAAAGTTGAATCTGCTGGAACCAATGATGGAAGTGGTAGTAACACAAATGCTCAGAGTAGTAATGGTAATGGTAGAAGGTATGAAGATGAGGATACTAGGAATGAAAACGGTCGCCGGTTTCCAGTGTCACTTCCGTGGCCTTTGAGTGGCTTGTTTTCATCCCCAAACTCAGGTAGTAATGGAAATTCATCATCAATGACGTCTTCTGCATCAAATGCGAACTCCAATGCTCATATGCATGAGGATTAAATTTCATCATATTGAGTTTGTGCTCTATGATGCATGGATTTCCTTTGGCGTTTTGCTTGTGTACATAGCGTGGTACTTGCTAAATTATAGTATTGCAAACACTGGATCCTGTCTTGCTTGCCTGCCTGTATTATATAGAGGATCATTTTACTTTTGTTAGACTAGAAGCCAACGACTCTCTTCTGTTTGTATAGAGCTTTAAATATGTACACTTTTTGGTCAACTCAACTCTCAAATCCTTTAAGCTGATGAAAGGGTTTATGTCAAATGTCCTCTGAACCACAAGAATCAAGAGAAAGCTCTTGGCCTCGTTTCTGATTTATCAGCTTTTAAGCTATAGCAATGTGCTATGGTTCAGGCATTATTGATCTTGTTTACATGCTATACGAGTCATGGTAATGACTTCCTACTTGTCAAGTTAAATTGCTAGATCTAATGAATTTCTTCGTTGAGGTTGGATTTCAGTATCAGAATGAAATTGGAAAAGTTTGGCTTGTTGTATGAAATTCTGTTCTTTGTTTGTGGACATTCAAAACTTACATATGAGTTTTATATGTCAAGATCATAGGGACATATTGAAGGGACCTTGTTAAATGTGAGTGAATTGCAATTGTTGATATGCGAGCTGAGATTCTGTTTGTATGTGCATTAGTCCATCCCTAGAGACTAGAGTAAGTGTTTTTTGTATGCATTTCAGGGATCACTAGAGGCAACAGAGTAGAGTAGTTTCGTTATTAAACTTCACTCCGATTGAAAACTGTATTGATCTTCTCAACTATTACAACCAGGACAACTTAACTGAATTAGTGGTAAGTGTATGATATCCAGTGTTGTGATAGGTTAATCCACAATTTGAAATTTACCCTTGTGTTTTGGCATGTTCAAAGAGAATTTTGTAAACACTTGCACTAGTAAAATCATTGCCTTTTTAGCCAAGAATATGTTTTCAATGGGAACTCGCAAAAGCATTTGGAGTGGTCATCATAATAGCACTTTTAAGAGTATATTGTCATAATTTTGTGAGTCTAAATCCATAATGTCAAGGTAAAAAATAAAAACACACAATTGCCTCATTCAATGCACAACATTCAGTGTATACATCTAGCACATGACAAACATTGCCAACAATTAATATATTCTGGTAATGTAATCCAGATCACACAGAAGAAGATGATTGATTACTACTTGTTCAGTTCAACTCATTTACGTTATTTCTTCAATTCAGGGGGGAAAAGTCACAAGTAATCTCTCATAAAATACATTTCTGTAAAACCAACCACAAGCTACTCTTCAATCACGATTTGGCAAAACAAAGGTCGCACTACTCTCTAAACCTAAAAACTAAAATCCTAAAAAACCTTGTCATCTTCGCCACTAATGGCCGCCACTCGGAAGCCTCCGATGGGGGTTGCTCAGCCTGTTTCAGAAAACTTAGCAAGAAGGTTGTAATGAAGATTTATAGATATGAATGCACAATAGGATATTTGAGTTATAGATATGTTTTGATCAAAGCATCAAGTATGGAGGATTATGTTCATTTGCTAACAAAGCCTATTTATTATATTGGACATAGGAGTTGTTATTACCCAATGCGCACACTCAAATGGGATCTGCTATTTGATCCGGAGGAAGAAACAACGACAACTATAGCATGGATATCTTTTCCATTTTTACCATCAAATTTCTTTGGTAAGGAAACAGTTTTTCTCTTTGGCGGCAGCGGTAGGGAAGCCTTTGCAGGTGGATATGACAACATGGAATAAAACAAGACCTAGTTATCCAACGGTGAAGGTTGAAGTGAATTTGTTAGGAGAATTTCCAAAGAGTATAAATATAGGGGTGAGAAACAAGAAGACCGAAGAAAACAAAGAAAAATGAATACAAATCAAATGTGATTACATGCCCAAATACTGCAAAAATTGTAAGTTACAAGGACACAATGAGAAAGAGTGCTATGTGTTACACCCAGTGTTGTATCCGAAAGAAGAGGTTGATGGTGAGTAGAGAGGGCAGAAAGAAAACGAAGAGAAGAATCAGGATCAAACAAAGCAAAAGGAGGCAAATGATAAAGGTAAGGAAAATGTTCATGCATTCCAGGAACAAAAGAGTAAGGGGGGGGGGGGGATGGGGGGGGGGGGGGGGGGGGTTTCTTTTTTTGGG